TGTCTCTCGCGCAGCTCTGCCCGGACGTCCCGTGCGAGGCGCGCAAGCTGGGGAATCAGACGCTCGCTTTGCCTCTCTGCCCCCCGGCCCCCGCTTCCTCTTTGTGTATTTATTACAGTTTTGAAACTGAATACTGAATCCTGATTATCACTGAACGTACATCGCTAAGTTATCGAGCTCCTTGGTCTTATCAAAAGCCAGACGTGGGCTGCATAGGGTTTCTGTCATCAAAGATGTTCTGAACTGAAAATTTAAAATTAAAAAAAATCCTGAAATGTGTTGAAAACGACCCATTCCATCAACTCTAATGCATGTGTAAACTCACTTGGGTTGTCTGTCGTTGGATTATTGGCTCTTCACACAGGGTACTGGTTTCCACATGAGAATGGTTTATGAATTCTGTCTAAGCAGTACTAATTTTTGTTATGTTTTGTTTCTTCTCAAGTCTGGAGGGGTATGTTTTCTCTCTTTGTTTTTGTGTTCCTGTGGGAATCACAGCTTTGCATCAAGCAAAATCACCTAAGCTATTTTGACGGAGGACTGGTGTGTGTGTGTGTGTGTGTGTGTGTACGTGTGTGTATGACTCAGTACATTTTATGCAACGATCAGTTAACTCCATCAAAACACCCTACTGATTGGAGGCAACACTTTCCATCACAACGGTGCCCTCCGGCGGATGTGCTAAAAGACTGTGCGGGAGGGGCTGGCAGCCACAAGGGGTCCTGCTGCGCTGGTCCGCCCCCTGCAGGTGGAACGGGAGGCTCGCGGCTGCTCTTGGACAGGCGGCCAGCAGCAGGCAGTCGGCTGGCGGAGGGTCAGACCTCGTCCTGACGGCGGTCAGGCTAGGACACCGCCGCCCGCCGCCCCGCTCTCGGGTGCAGGTTCGTTATTGCCGCAGCCGCGCTGTCGCCCCTGCACCTGCAGGGCGTGGCCCTCCTCCAGGCCCTTCGTCTCATAAAGTGGTTTCATACTCCAGCCGCTCCTGAATGAGAGCGTCGTCTTTGTACTGCAGCCTCGGAGGAGACGGGGAGCATTCAAAGGCCAGAATGGCCTTTCGGAGGCTTCGGTCCAAAACATGTCTCTCCCACGCTGGGTACCTATTCCTGAACAGGTCAATTTTAATGACAGATTCTTCAATCCGTGGTGGGCGAGACGATGGGGTGGATGGGGCCGTGGGCCTCACCTGAAAGACAGGGACACACCCATCCCGCTCTGCGAATTTCTGGTCGCGGTCGCCGGCCACGCTGCGGTTGTTGGAGATGGACCTCAGGGTGCTCGTGGCCACCTCCGGAGGCAGAGAGAAGGCAGCGGCGGGGTCTTCACAAGCACAGCTGGGTGACTGCCCGAACCTGGGTCCGTTGGGGTGGAAGAAGGCATAGTACATCAGCATGAAAACCACGCCGGTCAGGAAGCTGCTGAACACCACGCACAGCGCGGGGATGGCGAACGCGTCTGCGATCTGGGGAGCCTTGTAGAGGTACCAGAGGGCGCTCAAGGCGGTGTTCTCCAGAAGGATGACCAGGTAGTAGGTGAAGAGCCTGCAGCGAGTCCTGCCTTCCTTGACGTTGAACCAGCTGAAGATGTAGATGATCCCCACCACCATGTCGAACACGATCTCCTCCCACTTGGTGATGCAGAACTCCGTCTCACAGTGGACGATCCAGAAGGTCATGATGCACCAGTGCAGGACGATGAAGATCCCAAAGTAGAGCTGGAAAACCGAGGCGAAGAGGGCGAAGGTGATGACCCTGGCGGCGATGGTGAAGAAGTGCCAGCAGAACTGGATGACCACGGCCATGTAGCTGATGGGCTTCTTGTCATCGCGGGAGTCCCGGAGGGCCTTCTGGTAAGAGGCCAGGGCCCAGGCCAAGGACACGAGGGAGGCGGCCGCTGTGAAACCTGCAAAGGCAAGCAGGAAGACGTGTCGTCAGCAGTGAGATGTGCTGTCATCCCTGGAAAGAAGCCACGTGGGGCTGGGGGCTTGGGATGGGCTGGCTCTGACCACAGCCCAGCTCTCAATTTCTTTGGGTTTCAGCTGGACTAAACGTTCAGCTGGGGCTCCAAGGATCTGTCCTTAATGGGGTCCCAGCCGTATGGAGACGTTGTGAAGCCAATGGCAGTGCCACTCAAGACCAGCGCGGCGTGTGGGGTCTGAAAGCTGGGAGGGGGTGGCAGGAGTCTGTGTACTTGGTGTGAACAGACTAGGGAGGTGGCTTTGAGGGGTAGGACTGGCACTGTGGGAAGGGAGTGGACAGAACTGGGGTGCTCTTTCAACGTTGCTGCTTATTACCTGCATGACTTTGGACAATCATTTAAATTGGTGTCCTCGTTTAAAAAGTGGGCGATCTCCTGGGCTCCCTGTCCCCTGTGAGATTCTGCGAATGGAAGGGATGAATAATCACAGGAAACTTGAGGGTTAGCTGGGTTACCTTTCTGCTTCGAGGCAAGAATAAATGCAGTCCGTTCCCTAAAAGAGAGTGAACTATTTCTTGGAAATAAGAAAAGGAGCTCACACACCCTCGCTGGCCGTTTCTCGTGATACCTGCTGTGCAGTAGGCTCTAATATCATCTGATTACTCTTCTTACAGCTTCCTGCTACTAAGGAGAGGAAATGTCTGCACGTTGTCATTCGTCTCTTATTCTTTCACAAATTAAATCTTGTACAGAAATCACTTATCATCCACTTTTCTTGGTATGCAGCGAGCCTCGTCTGGTTAGATTCGCCCCTAAAAGTAGGTTTCTAAATTTAAAAAATCATTTTTATTGCTTCCCTCTCCTGCCCCAGAAGCATCACCTCTGTGGTCCAGAGGTGGACAGGGCTCCACTGAAGACACACTGCCCCCTTCAGGAGAGAGCTCTTTGGAGAATTCCTCTTTGTCACTGAAACACCAGGTCAACCGGCATTGCAGCTGGTTACTTAATGAGCCGTGACAAGACTTACCAAGACTAACACAGTTTTGCGTGTTTTAAAGTCCAGCTAGCTCTTCTTCACCAGATCTATTACTAATCCTGTGGAAATGACAGAAGAGGGGGGCGCCAAGAACTTAGGATGGAATTGTACTTTTCTTCTTATATTTTGATTGAGAAAAGCTGTTGTCTATGGACCTTGAAAAATGAATTTAAAAAATGACTCTTTTAAAAAAGATACTGGAGCAAACAAACGAAAAAAGCTTAAGGTAAAGGGTAAAAATATTAGCAGATAAGTAATACTTAAATTTTCAAATTCATTTTCTTCGTAAGGTGTACCTTTTAATGGATATGAACCCAAAAGCAGATAAGCAGTGCTTTAAGTAAAGTCTAGTTTAAAAGCAAGAAGGACTCTTGCTGGAAAGAGCCACATTAGTTGATAGAAAAAAAAGCATTCAACTTTGATAATCATTTCTTATGCATGCTCCTGGAGTCAGGTGAGCTCTGAAAACAATTGATAAGGAAAATCCTTTCCAACAGCCACTTCTTATATCTACTCCCAATCAAGCCAGCAGACTATCCACATCTCACACTGGACTTCCGGGTTTTTTTCTGGCCAGCACAAAACCCTTTCATTACCGTACCTCTCGGCAGTGTTGGCAATATTTCTAGGTCAGTTAGAGGCTGGTGCACAAGGCGTTTACAGTGCTATAATTTCAGATCAGGGTACTGGTGAATAAAGGATGTTTTTTGAAGTGGCGAAAAATAGTAAAAAAAAAAAACTTTACATACATGGCATCATAAAGTTATCTGTTGTCACATTTCAAAGAACTGAAAAATTGGCTTCTTCCAAAATCCCCCGTCATCATTACCCCTTTTACTGTTATGTCCTGAGAAAGGAGTCCAGCCTGCGTTTGGCACTCCAGGAACCTGCTATGGCAATACGCTGGTGGTGGAAAAAGGAAGATTTTTTTTTTATCAGCTTTGCTTTCTACGTATCTTGCAATTTAAAAAGTCTCTACCAAGGGCAAATTTCGTGTCCATGGTAGCCGTCCCCTTTGTAAATTGTCCACTTTGGCTAGAGTTAGCACTCCCCTTGTTCATTTGATTACTGTTTTCTTTTTCATCTGTTTAGCAGTTAATTTTTATAAGACAAACATATGCCTGAACAGAAAACAGGGGGCCGTCTTAGAATTACTCCTCATTACAAATTCACACCTGACACAGGATGCTTAGTTCTTCTGCTTCTCATGAGAACCCTGTCAGCTCAATTGTTTCACACCCAAGCACAGACTCCCTCAGCAAGGCGCTGCGTTACTGTCGGGGTAGAATTCTCGGGAACTTCTGCGGCTGGAACACGGGACTCTAAGAGCTCCTTTAGGCAACAACGTTTTAACACTTTTTTATTTGAAAGTAATCATAAACTTACAGAAAAATTGCAAGAATAATAAAAATAGTAATTGAGAGTGTGTTGTGTACGTTATGGCTGCTATGGTCTGAGTGTTCGTGTTCTTCCCAAATTCGTACGTTGAAATCCTAACCCCTAAAGGTGATGGTTTTAGTAGGCAGGGCGTCTGGGAGGTGCTTAAGCTTTGAGGAGGAGGCCCAGGGCACAGGATTTCTGTAGAGAGCCTTAGCTGTCTTTCTGCTGTGTAAGAATGAAATTAAAAGTCCTCGCCGCGAAGAGAGGAGAGTTCTCACCAGGGCAGGCTGGCACCTGATCTCGGGCTTCCAGCTTCCAGAACCGTGAACGAGACATTGCTGCTGTTGATTAGCCACACAGTGCGCGGTGTATTGTTACAGCAGCCGGAACAGACTAAGACAATGAGTCTTTACCCTAAACTACATCAGTATCTCCTTCCTATGAAGGGGGATATACTCTTAGACGACCCCAGTAAGTGTATCAACTTCTGCCCATTTAACTTGGGTACCATACTTTTTTTTCTAATCCTGCATCAATATTCCATTTTCATCAATGGACCTAAACAACGTCCATTAAAGGATTTTTCTTCTGGTGCCAGATTGAGTCTAGAACCAGGTATTGCATTTAGTTGTCTTATTGATTTAGTTTTCACAGACCTTCTTTAATTTTTATGACTTGACATTCTTTGAAGAGTATGATACCTTGAAAGAAAGGAAGAAAGGAAGAAGAAAAGAGTGAAGGAAGGAAGAAAGAATTCCAAATATAGAGTCAGAAGCACAGAGAGAATGAGATACTCGCAAAATGTGCACATTTCTTCATCGCGCTCCTATTCTGCTTCTTTGCAATCTCAGCCTGAGCTGCAAAAGCTGAAACACTGAAATAAAATCTGTGTTCCTGTTGCATTTTCTTGTGGCTTGGGTGTAAAAAGGAATTCCTGGTGAAACCCAGAGAACATGTTGTAGGTTTTATAGCCTAATTCCCTAGATGTAGGAGGTTCGGGGAATGAACCAAGCACTCTAGTTCTCTGATTCTTCAACAAACAGCATGAGCCTGTGTTTTTCCTACTCCTTAGGAAGGTCAGAGACGTTCCCCATCACAGGCCAGCCAAGCGTTAATCCCAGAAAAACGCCTGGCCACTGGCCCACGTTCACTACCAAACTGCAACTTATGAGAAGGGATCTCTTAAAAAATATTACTTTGTAGAATTTCAAACAGACACAATAGCAGAGAGAATAATACAACAGGTAGACCCTTCCTGCGGAATCAACTAACGGGCCTGAGTGAGTTCTGAAATCCGTCACCGGGGAAGCACGAGTTTTGGCCAGCAGGGGGCGCCTTGTCTCGCTCCTCCCTGAACCTTCCAGACGCACCTCTCCCTTTCCTTAGAGATGGAAGGGCTGTGCTCAAAGCTGACTGACAGCTGATGTTTTCTCGGCTCAGCCCGGGAAGCCTGGCCTGCCAGCTCTCCGGGGCCGGCTTCCCCTGGCCCTTCGGGTCCCCCAGTCACGCCGCCGCCTCTTCCTTCCCCGCACGTACTCCCTTCCTGGAGACAAGAAACGCTGTGCTCGGCCTTGAAAAACCACCTCTCTCCGGTTGATCCCTACGCATCCCTCAGTGTCCAGTTTAAGCACCATTCGTGTCCTCAGGAAAGCCTGCCCCAGCCCCTTATCCAAGCCCCCCCACCCCCCTTGTAAACGCGCCCCACACCCGTGCTCGTCACAGCGCACCTGCCAGTCCGCTTGGGAACCGGTCTCCGAAACGAGTCCATCCGTCATGCGCTGCGCCTCAAGTTGCCCCCAGTCTGCCCACTATCTTGATCGCAAACATCTTGTCTTCCCTTCTTTTCACCTCATTTCTCCAGCCTGTCTGTCAGTTTAAGTATTTTCTCGCCAATGGTTTGGGAATGTATGATTTACAGCATAACCGTCCTCGTTATGGAGGCGACATTATCGCATGGCCATTCATAACATATATAGTCTTCTCATCATAAACGTGATAACTTTTCCCCCTCAAGGTACACTCCCTAAACAGAAGACAGACAGACAACACATTGGATTTTAGACGACAATATAACGTTGAGTTCTTGTCAAAAAACCTCACGGTTTCCTTAGTGGCTGGGAGGCACACAACTGTGGACAAGTAAAGAAGGAGCGAGTGTTTGGGGGGCCCTGCTGTGTGCACAGGGGTGAGCCAGGTCTCTTCATCCCTTGTCCAATTTAAATTTCCGGATAACACTCTGAGGCCAGCACTGTTTTGCACTCAGGGAAACAGACCCAAAGAGAGGCTAAATAACTTACCCAAGCTGATGTGATTAGCAAGGACAGCAGGCATCTGAGCTCTCCGTTCTGTCTCCAGACTCTGTCCCCCCAGCCACTGGTATGGGATCAGCACCCACAAAAGGCGAGGTGAGGTGTAGACAAGAACGGGAGGCCTCGAATCTCCCACCACCTGAGCGTGTGGGCAACAATACGGCAGGACGGAGGTGACCCCTGAATAGTGCCACTGCTCAGACATCTGACTCCAGAAGGGCTTCCATCACGCCTGCTCCTTCAGGCTCACAGTGACCCTC